CGGCTTGCGAGAGTCAATTTGTTCATAATTATCTTCACTTCTTCGCAACTTCTTCGCCTCATAGAATTTTCCGACGGTTTCTTCATAAATGTATCAGACAAAACAGACACAAGCTACAAAATTCGATTTACCAGCTTTTACCACAAAAAGCGCTGCTGTTTTCGGCTTGCGAGAGTCAATTTGTTCATAATTATCTTCACTTCTTCGCAACTTCTTCGCCTCATAGAATTTTCCGACGGTTTCTTCATAAATGTATCAGACAAAACAGACACAAGCTACAAAATTCGATTTACCAGCTTTTACCACAAAAAGCGCTGCTGTTTTCGGCTTGCGAGAGTTAATTTGCTCATAATTGTCTTCAGTTCTTTGCAACTTCTTCGCCTCATAGAGCTTTTGCGACGGTGTCTTCAAAAACGTATCAGGCAAAACAGACAAAAGCTAGAAAGTTTGCTTTACCAGCTTTTACCACAAAAAGCGCTGCTGTTTTTTGCTTGCGAGAGTTAATTTGCTCATAATTGTCTTCAGTTCTTTGAAGCTTCTTTGCCTCATAGAGATTTTGCGACGGTTTCTTCAAAAACGTATCAGACAAAACAGACACAAGCTAGGAAGTTCGCTTTACCAGCTTTCAAAAGCGCTGCTATTTTCGACTTGCCAGAGTCAATTTGTTCATAATTGTATTCAGTTCTTTACAGTTTCTTCAATATAGAAATTTGGCAAAAAATTATTCCAAAATGTATCAGACAAAATAAACACAAGTTCAAGAGTTGTCTGTATCAGCTTTTACCAAAAAAACTGTGCTGTTTTCGGCTTGCGAGAGTAAATTTGCCATAATTGTCTTCAGTTCCCACAGTTTCTTCAAATATAGAAATTTAGCAAAGGATTCTTCAAAAAATGTATCAAACAAAATAGACACAAGTTAAAACGTTGTCTATGTTAGCTTATATTAAGAGAAACGGTGTTGTTTTCAGCTTTCGAGAGTCAATTTTCTCATTATTGTCTACGGTTCTTCGCCGTTTCTTGAAGTAATAGAAATTTAGCAAAGGATTCTTGAAAAATGTATCAAACAAAATACACAAAAGACGCTGATATAAACTTGTCTTTGTCAGGTTTCAGTGAAGAAAGCGTTGCTCTTCAGGGCTTGCGAAAGCCAATTTGCTCATAACTTTCTTCAGTTCTTCGCAGTTTCTTGAAATAATAGAAATTTAGCAAAGGATTCCTCGAAAATGTATCAGACAAAATAGAGATGCTGTTTTCGGCTTGTGAGAGTCAACTTGTTCATAATTGTTTTCAGTTCTCCGCAGTTTCTTTAAATAATACAAATTTAGCAAAGGATTCTTGAAGAATGTATCAGACAAAATAGACACAAATTTAAAGGTTGTCTTTATCAGCATTTAATGAAAAACAACAAAACAATTGGCGCACTTTTCGGCTTGGGAGAGTCAATTTGCTCATAACTGTCTTCAGTTCTGCTCAATTTCTTTAAATAATGTAAGTTTAGCAAAGGATTCTTCAAGAATGTATCAGACAAAATAGATACAAGTTATAAGGCTGTCGTTAACAGCTTTGATTAAAACAAACGGTGCTGTTTTTGGTTCGCAAGAATCAAATTGCTCTTAATTGTATTCAGCTTTTCGCAGTTCAAATAATATAAATTTAGCAAAGGATTCTTCAAAAATGTATCAGACAAAATTGACACAAATCTAAAAGCTGTCTTTAGCAGTATTTACCAAAAATCCGGTGTTGTTTTCCGCTTGTGAGAGTCGATTTGCTCGTAATTGCCTTCGGTTCTTCGTACTTTCTTCAAGTGATTGAAATTTAGTAATGAAGTCTTCAAAAATGTATCAGACAAAATAGACACAAATTTAAAGGCTGTGTTAATCAGCATTTACCAAACAACCGGTGCTGCTATTTTCGGCTTGCGAGAGTCAATTTGCTCATACTTATCTTCAGTTCTGCGCAGTTTCTTCAAATATAGAAATTTAGGAAAGGATTCTTCAAAAATGTATCAGACAAAATAGGCGCAAGTTAGAAAGTTGTGATTACCAGGTTTCAGTAAAGAAAGCGCTGCACTTTTGGGCTTGCGAAAGTCAATTTGGTCATGATTGCTTTCAGTTCCTCGTAATTTCTTCACCTAATAGAGATTTGGCAAAGATTTCTTCAAAAACGTATTGGACAAAATAACGCAAATTTAAAAGTTGTCCTTTTGGCCTTAAGTGAAGAAAGCGTTGTTTTTTCGGCCTGCATGAGTTAATGTCCTCACAATTGTCTTCAGATCTTCGCAGTTTCTTCACCTAATAGACATTTAGCAACGGTTGATTCAAAAACGTATCAGACCCTTAAGGTTTTTGAGAGTCAATTTGCTCATAATTTTATACAATTCAAAGTCGATTCTTCTCCTACTCAGGTTTGAGCTAATATTTCTTTGAAAACGTAGTAGACAAAACCGGAGCAAGTTAGAAGACTGTCTTCAACTGTTAACAAAGATAGTTTTACTTCTTTCGGTTTTGAAAGTCAAGTTGATCATAATTGTCCGCAATTCTTTGCAGTTTCTTCACTAAATAAACATTCAGCGAAGGTTTCTTCACAAAATTCAAAAGAAGTTACAAGAAAGGCAAGTGAATAAACGTGTATTTCTCGACTTTTAAGTCAAAAAGCGTTACTCTTTCTTCACTTATCAAATGAGTTTTGACAGGCTCTTTTTGTGATCTCCCTCTTTAACGCCACCTTTTTTGCTTAAGATTAAATAGCTCAGA